CGTTTTTCCCTTGACCATGCGCTAAAGTGCTGTGGTTATTTTTATCCTGTTATGTCAGGTGGAGGTCTTGGTTGCGCTGATCACATCTTATCGCACCACTCCCCGCGTTTGCCCCTCTGGAGGCTATCCGCACCGAGTGCGCTGTTTCTCCGGGATCCGATGTAATACTGGTAGCGTCATCATTCTTTAATAGCGTCGCACATTCACTTTCATCGTACATTTATTTCTCTTTCGGTATTTTATTTGCGCTCACACCTACTCTCTATTATTATTGGTGTACTGATGTTTGCAGGTTTTCAGGTAAATTCGCCGCACATATAGTATTATATAACGCGTGATCTTTGATCAACTGTACTGATAACACGCGTTTCTTAGGTGTAAATGGATACTTCGCTCTTTGTGTGGGAGCTGTGGAGGACGAAGAGCCCATCGTGATATCTGTGGTCCGGTGCAGATACGTATGGATCGTAGTTGAGGCCGACGCACTACCTCCGCTATCGAGGAAACAAAATAACGGGACTAATGTCGTCAGCGAAGAGAGACAACCGTTCATGTTCGCTTTGATATGCGTATCACGTTTTACGTCCGCGTGGGGTGACTGAGTTCGCCTAACCTTTAATATTTCAAAGTATGGCCAATTATCACGATGCTAGCAGCTGTATAATGTGAGTTGAATGTTTTCATAACGTTTATAACAGTGTTAAGCTCATATTCAGTCATATCAGCAAAAGATTGCATCATCGACTTCTATGTTGAGCAAATCTTTGAAGACTGAACTATGTTGTTAGATCGACGCTTTTAGTATTCAATTGTAAGGTACTTAACAGCAAAATCTTATCATATCACAATGGAGTGCTTACGGTTCAAGTCGTTGCCGGTGGCTTCACGTCTACGTAAAGCAAGCCTCTGAGAAAAAGGTATAAATATTCACATCATCTAACTTCTCTTCTTCACTCAGTTCTATTTTTAAGGCTCTCTAGATGGTTGACGCATCGTCCTTGTTCCCGGCTCCCCTCGGCTCATACGAGTACGATGCGGTTCAACCTTCCCAGAATGTCGACTGCGGCTGTGAGAGAATAGTCCTGCACATGGTTCCTGCTGTTTGAGTCGGCGTCAGTCGCAAATCCTATCTCGAAGAAGTACCAGAACTCCTTACAAGTACTTTTTGCAACTACAGGTCAATCTCACCTTGAGTGATGTTTCTCATAACTCGATCTTGGGCCTTGTGCTTCTATGGCGCGGGTCTGTTTTACACACCCGATACCTCAATGTATTTTGGCGTGCATCATGCGACATCGTAGAAGCAATAAGCTTCTGTCTTATCGGAATATCTTCATCTCATCCTCTTTTTCTAATCCCGTTAAAGCGATGTTTAAACCATGCGCACTTCAAAATGCTTAAATACAAGAACTTGAGGAGTCGAGAAAGCCAGGTTGTGCCCTCTTTGCGCTCGCATTCATCCTCTTGGCCATTTTCTACACGCTCCCAAAGATGGTGTCTTTCAACAAGTTCTTCACTTCCGTCTTTCTTGCTGTCGTCTACGCGTCATCCGCAAGCGCTGCACCATGGCCTGCAAGCTCAAAGTTCGGCACTCACCGCACCAGGAATGTTGCCCGTGACGTTCAGATCGAGACTTTCCACCCCGTCAGCAACTTCGAGGTGCATTAAATGATACTGCTCAGTACTTTCTATGTTGACGATGTTTCCTATAGACTTTCGGCGATGGCATCGACCACCCTCTGTCTAAGCGTTCTGACCCAGACCTCGAAGAAGCTGCGATCGCCTTTGCTGGATCCCATCTCTCTATCGATCCCAACACCATCGCGTTCAAGTCTGGTTTCTCTGGAGAAGTTGCTCAACACGCGTTCCTTAGGCAGACCCACGTAAGAAGCCATTACAATCCTGAATGAAAACTCCATGCTAACCATCACTTAAACGTAGGATGGAATCCCATTCGCTAATGCCGTTGCTAACGTTGCGTTCAATCACAACAACAAGGTAATATACCAGATTCATCTGTCCTATGTTTAACTAACACTCTATGATTCCCATAGGTGGTATCCTTTGGCTCTTCCTTTGTCAAGCCGAGTACGTACTCTATACGCGCCAAAGAGTCATGCAGCATCTGCTGACAGAATACGTTCAGCGAGTATTGCGTCATCAACCCCATCCATCACAGTCGACGCTGCCATCGCTGCTGCCGAAGCGGCACTGTCTGGCAAGTTCAACGACCACCCTCCCACTATCGAGTTCCTCGTGAAGGAGGATAACACCGTTGCCTTAACCCATGTCGTCCAGATCCGGAATGAGGCTGCTGGAACTTGGTTCGAGGCCTTTGTTGATGCTCACTCCGGTGAACTTCTTTCCGTCACCGACTTCGTCACCAAGGCAACGGTAAGCATATTATTTGTGCATGTCAAACGTTATACTTAATTCTGTTTCAGTATCGCGTCCTTCCTATTCAGAAGGAGATCCTCACTCAGGGCTTTGAGACCTTGACTGACCCCCAAGATACCCTTGCTTCTCCTGATGGCTGGCATTCTACTGGCACTACCTCCACAACGACCACCTCGTAAGTTCTTAGTCCTCTTTTACACAACTAGTGTATCACTTACCTTCAATCGTTCAGTGGTAACAACGTCGTCACATTCAAGGGTGCCACAACCGGGACCACCACCCAGTCATCCACTGGCCTTAATTTTGTCTTCGTCCAAGACCCCACTGTCGCACCCACCACCGCAGTCAACCTTAACGCCGCACGCGTGAACAACTTCTACCTCGTCAACACCGTGCATGACTTCACTTACCGCTACGGCTTCACCGAGAAGGCATTCAACTTCCAGACGAACAACTTCGGCCTTGGTGGTGTTGGTAACGACCCTGTCACCGCCTCCATCCAGGATAGCGCAGGAACGGATAACGCTGACTTCTCAACTCCTCCTGAGTACGTTACAACTTGATTTTATCATATCTCGGTTGTCTAATGCTAGTTTAGTGGCCAATCCGGGCATATGCGTATGTTCTTGTGGGATCTCACCAACGTGAATTTTTACATTTTCTAGTACAGTCACATATCTTATTCCTGTTCCTACAGCCCGAGCGCGATGGTGCTCTCGAGAACGACATCGTCGTGCACGAGAATACTCACGGTGTTACCAACCGAATGACCGGTGGCGGAACTGGTCGCTGCCTGCAGACTACGGAGGCTGGTGGAATGGGCGAGGGTTGGTCCGATGCTATGGCTGAGTGGACTGAACACACATCTGCCACCATCACCGACTATGTCCTTGGTCAATATGTCACCAATGATCCCGCTGGTATCCGTAGCCACCCCTACTCCACGTCTGCGTAAGCTCCTCAGTTACGCTGTTCATTTAAACATAGTTGATCTAATAACCAAACGTGCAGCACTACGAACCCCCTCCGTTACTCCAGCCTCAAGACCTTGACCGAGGTGCACGACATTGGTGAGGTCTGGGCCAACATCCTGCACAATGTCTACGCTGCTCTCGTCGGCGTACATGGATTCTCTACCACTGCTCGCACCAACCCCGCCGGGACTGAAGGTAACGTCGTCTTCTTGCACCTGTTCATCGATGCACTCGCACTTCAGCCCTGTAATCCCACCTGTGAGTTTTTCGACATATCTCACAACCACGGACCATGTCTCATGCTCTTCTTTACAGTCCTCACTGCCCGTAGCGCATGGATCCAAGCCGACGTTAACCGTTTCGGCGGTGCTAACAAGTGCGCGCTCTGGAATGCATTCGCCAGCCGTGGTCTTGGTGTCAACGCCGCCAACCATAACGACGACTCCACCGTTCCTGCTGGCTGCTAAACGCTGCACGTGGTTAGGTCACGGAGTGGTTGGAATCGATACCTCGTAGAACTTGTCGCCTGCACGGAGCTGGCCGACTCTTCTCTCTTTTATTAGTGGATACCCAGGAAGTCAAGCGTCGTAATCATCACACATTATATATCACGTAGAACCTACGAACCAATTCACATCTTTTGCATATCCACATATTACTACATACATTCTCTTTTCATCGCCTGCGCTCGCGATTGAGATACCAGCTATAATTCCCACCATGGGCCAATTTCTAACGTGCACCCTAGTCATCTTCCGCGAGCAATACGATGCACTATGATTTGAATCATTTTTGCATGGATGATATCCTTCAGGCATAGTCTTGTCCTCTCACTACTTAGCATTCAGAAGGATTGCCGATATCTTGGAGGTCAGCATAGTAACTCTTTATAGTTGTTTATAGTAACAATCTTTCACAATGCAGAGGGGGCATAGCTCAGTTGGGAGAGCAGTAGACTGAAGTATTTAAAGCGTATTCTAAAGGTCCCGCGTTCGATCCGCGGTGCCCCCATTTTATTATTATCTTCCTGTGGTTAAATCGATGTATTTGTGAACAGTATTTTTATTTTGAGCTCCGGATTAAATGGAATACCTTCTGTTCGAATGAGAGCCATATTGTTTCATCTTTGTGCACACCATGTTTTGAGTGCGTGTTCGCTTAGGTGATACTATATATTACTTTAGATACGCGAGTTTCCCGAATGAGGAATCATGCTACTAGACAATCAGGCGATGAGCTCTGTTTAGGGCTCAGGCACAAGCCAGCACGGCCTCGGATGCGGGGACACTGCCTCTTGTTCTGGGCCAGAAAATTGCATTTCAGAAAGAGACCTCTAATACCTACCCACATCGCTCCGTCTGCATACCAACTATACGCAGGTGATTAAAAGAGATCTTAATATGAAATGAATATTCGAATAGCAGAGCTATAATCCAAGAAACTGGAAAGGAGTCTCCTTGCTTGAACGAACCCCCGAAACGATGTTGACAGTAAATGCTCCTGAAGATAAAATTATCTTCAGTGTAGGTGGTCCCAATTAGGACGCCTGACCGAAAAGGGTATTGAAAGCTGAGTCGACTTCAGCGTCAACAACGTCAGTTCCTTATTTAGAAGGAAGGAAACAAAAAAGGGCCTGACGGGGAGTTGAACCCCGGACCTCCTCGAATTAGTTGTCTGATGAAAGAAATACCCAAACGAGGAATCATGCTACTAGACCATCAGGCCAATAATAAGGACGGCACACAAAACCTTCAATTATACGTAAGGAACAAAAGCAAACGGCGCGAGTTTTTACAAGCAATCGCCGACCTTGGAATGAGATGATGTACTCAAGATGTACTTCTTTTCAAGTTATTGATCTACAGCTCACAGTAAGTATATCAAGAACCATTCGCATATCATATCATCATATGATCGTTGTATTATCAGGCCCAAAATCTTCACACGTATCATTCAGCCCAAGGACATATGTATATATGCCAACCATTACCTTTCCGCTAGATTCGTAGCCAGGCTCCTTAGCGGTAAAATCCCTATTTTTTTTTATCCCAGGAGGTGGCGTACAAAGAGGAAATAAAGATGAGTTGGGTTGGTTAAGAATTTCGCTATTGGCCGCAGTATGAACTGTTGGGCTAGAGATTAACGTTACATGGACACTTCACTTGAACTTTAAAGCTGTTATAGAAAAAGATATTGATTGAAGACGGTGCAAAAGGGCCTGACGGGGAGTTGAACCCCGGACCTCCTCGAATTAGCTATACAAAGAATTACCCAAACGAGGAATCATGCTACTAGACCATCAGGCCGATGACGCTTGTTCCTCTCTATCAATAGCTCATAGTTGCCCTACGAAATAGCAGAGTGCAAGACCAAGAAGAGCATTGGAAGCGACGACATTGATCAAAGTAAGTAAATAAATAGCAGTAGTGTTTATTATACCCCTTCTATTCTACTAGCAGATACACTCATCTGCGTGTTCTCGGGCTTGTAGTCTCTGAAGAACTCCTTTCCATAGTCAATTAGAATCTCTGAGCCCGCTTTGATTGATTGAGCTTCCGAACAGATAAATTATGGCTAGATATCTTAAAATTACGTGGATGGCTTACCAGCGAATACTCCTATACGGTGTTCCCCATTCACGCTGAGGACTGATCAAGTATATATCGATTAGAATTGAGAGACCCCATCTCTTTCATACTCACTTTTTGTCCAACAATTCGGTTTACTACTGTGATTAATGTACCGCGTCTCGTTGCCCGCTTTAGCAGCATCAATCGATAACGAATTCTTAAGTTGGAAGACATAGTTTCTTCCTATGTGTTCAGCGACATCGCTACGAAACAAGCACATTAGGTTGAAATAATTGATTTACATTTGGAACGTACTGTCGTGATAACACAGTCGCTTCATAGAATACCTCTCCCGTATATTCTGAAAATAGTCAGAGATGAATAGGTTGAAGTTAAAAGTAATTGTACCAGCTATGAGATCTTGTTTATCGGCATCCTCGTCCCTGAGAAATAGACCGAGACCCCATTTGCTCTGTCGAACAGCAGTTGGCTAACAAATACAGTGTAAGTGAGTTTTAAGACATAGAAAGAGAAGATCACCTTGAATCGGCCTTGTTGAATACTCGCGTTCCTGCAAATATTCAACTCTACGTCTATTATATGGCCAATTCAGTAATACGACTTTGGCTATAAGACAAAACATACCTCTAACGAAAACGTCATCACTATAATAGATGAATCATACGGAGACCTACCTTGGACAACACCCGGTACACATGAGCAGGTCACACTCTCGATGCGCCCTAAAACAAGGGCAATTATCTGTGCTGCACGAATTCTTTATACATGTTTTGTTTTTCGCGCAATTACATCCTTTCACTGCGCTGGGTGAGCCATCTCTCTTCGACGGAACCTTTGGAGAAGATCTCACCAATAACCTTGCGCGTCTGTCGGACAGGTTTTCCGCGCTTCAAACGCGCAGGTACTGTAGTCGCCTGTAATCGCCGCTTGTATATCTTTATTATGCGTTAGCTCAGGTTGAAATAACTCTCATGACACAGTACCTCGAAGCAAGGTTTTCGAATAATGACTGCTATATCGCATGGCGATGTTTCCGGGACGTATTTGACCACAGAGTTCATCATTTCGACGTCTTCGTCTGTCCAATAGGTTTTCTGTGTTATGCGAAGACGGGAATCAGTCATAACTAAGTCAGAACGAAGATCGGGCTTACGATCGAGTTTATATTCACAAGTAAACAGCATTCCGATCCACAAGGCCCCTCAATCGCGGGAAGAAGGGATGTCATTGATATGGCTGGGACTGCCTTTGGAAGAGGTATATCTTTTGCTGTTATGGATTATTATTCGTATCAAACGGAAGACATAGAGGGAGAAACACGTACTATGGACTACGCAGTAGCCTATTGTGCAGTTCTGATTGTTGCAGAAGCTTCTAAAGAGATCAGAGAGTTGACCTGACGGTCCAGCTCCGGTATATGTTCGGGAAATAGGAAAGACTTCTCGGAGACTAACATTTTTAGGCCATGGAGGAAAGTCTCTACAGTAGAGCTATTAGATTTTTATACTAATTAGTTTATATGAGCTATACGAGCACGTACCGGTGTTGGCTTGTCTGAAGAAGCCCGGGACGTTCCCCGGAGAGAAGAATGATCGGAAGCACTTCAGTTTCGTCAATTTCAACCAGAGTCAGGTCATTATCGGCCGTCAACCGACGAGCTGTTTCAAGAGATACAACCTCAACTGCGCATTATTAAAGCCTAAGGCTTCTCAAAGACCAAAGTTGGTACTTACGATCTGGATCATTAGACGCAACATTCCAAGCAAAGTACTTGTAGTCGTCTACGTGCAGTTGAAAGTTGAATGTCGGATCATCAGAGAGTGGTATAAATGGTAACGGATCTGGATCGTCCTCTATCATATGACTGCGATACGTGGGCGGACATGACTCGTAAGATGGATACGCCGACATCGACTCTGGGACGATATATATTTCAGCAGTTATCGATGAAGGTTTGGAATATCGATTCCAGATGTCAAATTCTTCGAAAGAGTTTGAGTCTTCTTGGGCTCTATTCTTCTGGGATTTCTTTGACTGTCGTACTGGCCTTCCTCCGGAGCTAGGATCGGCGAGCATGGTAGCGAGGTGGGAGACCTGAAGCCCATCTAAAGCCTCCTGACAATAAGGGATATTCCACGCACAGAAATCAAGCCAAGTCAGTCTGAAGCAAGAAACAGTAGATGTTTTAAGGTCGGATACACCTTCCATGTTCTTCAGTTCGCTGTTTGAATCTATGTAAAGTCAAATGAGTAATGTCTGCGGCCTGATTTGAACTTGACTCGAATGCACAATTCGCTAGCCGAGAAGTTCTGCCCCAGAATAAACGATATCAAAGCACGAGTCCGCCAGAAAAGAGGGCGTGAGTATGTGTGTACGATAGTGAATGGAAAGGGCTCGTGCTCGCGACGCGTTGTTGTGATGGTCAAGGTGAACTCGTAGATAAACACAATCAAACATGATGAGCAAGCATTTGACACACAGTTTGTAGAATGCTAAATGCTTCAACTCTTCACGATATCCAGCCTAGCGTAAAACAAACACAAGTATTAACAATTTATGCTCAAATACAAAGCATTTTATTGATTAGAAGTTGATGATTGGAATAGAATTAAAACAAAAAGGGCCTGACGGGGAGTTGAACCCCGGACCTCCTCGAAATTCGTTCTCACGTGAAAACCCAAACGAGGAATCATGCTACTAGACCATCAGGCCGATACAGATGAGTAGTATCTAGGCTAATTTAAATCTATCCGAAGCGTGAACCCTCCTTAAAAATTCCTTTCCCTTCCACACTATGATGCCCTTACATTCACATTCTGAAGAGTATTGTTAGAAAAGTACTGCCAGAGTATGGCAACTGCGGTATGCAGACTCCCACACATCCGCGCCTCTATACTACAATGTACATTCTTCGCCATCTGGCTAACATCATGATATGCCGAATCATCGCTACATACACCCAGCACAAAGGGAGCTTATTACCCGTTTTTCTATAACTTTCAGCCTGAAGAAAATTTAGTACCATACTAATATCTGCTTCAGGACTGTGAAGCTCTTGAAGACGTGTCTCTCAAGCAGATTTAGTATAGGGGCGCTTATGGTATCCTATCTTCGAGGTTACGACATCACATGCATCGTATTTCACGTGAGCCTAGATCGACCTTATTTTGAGAGGTTGTCTACAGTTTTGGATTTAGCTATAACTTGGTGCGTTGGTATACGGGACCGTCACGGTGCCGTAAAATGCTATTGAACAGTAAATTTACAACCATCATCGATAAAAAAGTTCTACCGCGCTGTTCAACCTAGTGATGTGAAAGGCTCGGCCTCAAGCTGAGCCAGGGTAACCTAAGCCGTATGAAACCGTGAGCTAATGCTTCTACGGCCTACGGCTCAGGCTTGTCATTTTTGAGGCCGTAAGCCTTGGCCTGAGCCGCGGCCTATTGATGCATTTCTATAGTGCATCGATGATTCCATTACCAGTTCGCTTTTACACTAGATAACCAGTAGTTAGGCGTATGATGAACTTAGAATAACAATTACAACTCTATTCGAAAATACATCTGCTGGTACCCGCTTGTTGTCAATGGCCTCTACAGCTATCTATTTATCCACTACTGCACCATTTCGACCGAGTGTTCACGGGGTGTGACATGTTACGTGAAGTGTTCACGCGCGATGCAGTTCACAGATGTTTGTTACGCGTGACAGTGTTCACAGTACAAGCGTTCACGGTTGCATAGTGATCAGTTGAGACAGAGTCCTTTTCTTTAAAAAAAAATCAGACGAGGGTAACAGCCGGGACGTTGGATGGCTACCCCATGGGCTGCAACAACCAAAAGGACTTATGTAATGCCCTTCAAGTTAGAGCGCTAGCGCTCTTTGAAAGTAGTTCTAATCAATCACACTAAATCCGCAGTTTTGTAAAGTTATTTAATTTGCTTACATTACTCATAATTGATCTGGATCTTGCCAAAGTAATATAGCGATTGTAGCTGATGCATGTAAGATCACGATTCAAGCATAAACAGGCGAAAAAGTGAATTTTTACGCTATTTATGACCTGTTTTCGCAAGTGTTCACTTCACCTCTGTGACGCGTTACATTTCCTCCAAGTGTTCAATTCCCAAGCCGTTGTTACGCGTGACTGAACACTCGGTCGAAATGGTGCAGTATATCAAATACCTTCGAAATCTTGTCTCTCAGCTTTCAGCAATGCCTCAACTGCTTTGAGATGAGTCAGACATGGAAATGGATACATATTTATATGATATTTACTTCGAAATTAGTGTGTAATTTAATTTAAGAGATGTACTTCTAAATTTAGTATATCTAATAGCAAGCCGCGGCCTAAGCTTAAGCCTACCTCAAGCCGGCCGTGACGACGGCTCAAGGCTCGGGCTTCAGATTTCCGAAGCCTAAGCCGTGCAAAGCCGGGCCTAAGCCACGGTATTGAAGCCGAGCCGAGCCGTGCCAACACTAGTTCAACCCCTATTCTGTAAGTGTAACATACCGTTTGGAGCCATAGTTTGAACGTACCGTACCATCGTAGCTATCATTATGATGATACTTATACAGTACTGCCAACGACCATCCCTATATCTGTAAGCGCGCCGTATCCATTTCGTCATACATCGTATATGGTATGGTATATAGCCCTAGCTTTCGACGTTAGAACCATTATTCAGCTGACCTGGCAAATTCTAGATCAAAATAGTACTTATCAATTTTCGGGGTTATAGCTAATGCATTTAATCTACAGAAGATATCATACGCAACCACTCGTCTTTCTTAACGGAATAAAATAAGTAGAGCTCAGTCAGAATAAGATTTGACTGTTATATTAAGACGTAGCAATACCTAACAGAATAAAATAAGTAGAGCTACGAGAATAATCAGTAAGAGAGAAATGAAGATAAGTACGTCGTAACTCAGCTCAGTCAGAATAGGATTTGACTGAGATGTTTCTACGTTATCTAAAGGTCTTATATACTGCGAGAAATAATAAAAGGAGTATATACTGTAAGTAGATTCAAACATACCAATCACTTGTTTCTACGCTACAGAGTCCAAGTAATAAATGTGTTGCTACTTCGTCTAAGTAATGAGTGGGTCGAATATTAGGAATTTCGAATGGTGCTTTAAGGGCGGGCGATGCGCGAGACGGTTTGTAATTCCAACTTTCTCATCACTGTGCTTACACATGCACCTGCTGACTGGCGCTGACTGTTTTGATTAGAAGTTATCACCCGCTATTATCCAGTTACCGAGTTACCAGATGTTTTCTGGACATCTGCATATAGACTTTGAATTTTCCGAGAATATAAAGAACGCACGGATTGGATAACACCCACAACGATCTACGACACGCTTCTAAACAACACCTTTAATCATGTCTACTCCAAAACTCTTTCAGCCTATCGAACTGGGAAAAATCACCCTTCAACATCGAGTTATTCTAGCTCCGTTGACGCGTTTTCGTGCAACGAAGCTAAATCATCTACCCGTTGTACCTTTGGTCAAAGAATATTATTCTCAAAGGTCGAAGACACCCGGTACCTTGCTTATAAGTGAAGGTAATGGAATTGCTGTTAAGGCGGGAGGATATCCAAATTCTCCCGGTATATTTTCCGCGGAGCAGGTGAAAGCCTGGAAAGAGGTATGAATCATAGCTTTTCTACTAGTTTATCATTAAATTTAATGTTCGTAATTTCTCGACAAGGTCACAGATGCGGTTCATGCCAACAACTCTTTTATCTATGCTCAGATATGGGCTGCTGGACGTGCCTCCGCTACTTCTGGGGCCGAGACTCTTAAGGCCGAGGGTATTACGGTAGTCGCACCGTCATCGATTCCTCTTTCCTCTCATCCTACACAGACACCGCATGAGCTCACCATCGAGGAAATTCACGAATACGTCGAAATGTTCGCAGAGGCAGCAAAGAAAGCCGTATTCGAGGCCGGTTTCGACGGCGTTGAGATCCATGGCGCGAACGGATATCTCATCGACGAATTTATTCAAGATGTATCAAATCAACGGACCGATGCATATGGAGGGAGCGTTGAAAATAGAAATCGGTTTCCGCTGGAGATTGTTAATGCTGTTGTTCGTGCTGTTGGACAGGAAAGGGTAGCTTTTCGTGTTAGTCCATGGAGTACCTTCCAAGGCGCGTTAACCATTATTCAGTCACCTTCCCCATGTTAATATTCATGTAACAGATATGCGCATGGGAGACCCTGTCACACAATTCTCTCACCTTGTAACCGCTCTTCGAGATGCGTACCCTTCTCTCGCCTACCTTCACGCTATAGAGCCTCGCATCGGTGGTGACAGCGATAAAGATAAGATGGATAACCACGAATCGAATGATTTTATTAGAAATATCTGGAGCCCCAAGCGTCTCGTCTCTGCTGGAGGTTTCACCCGGGATAGTGCTATCAAGCATGCTGAAGAGACAGGAGATTTGATTGCATTTGGACGCTATTACATCTCAAACGTGAGTTTTCTTGATTCATAAACTGCATCCTAAATTCTGACCGTTTCTTAACAAGCCTGATCTTCCTTCTCGACTACTCAAGAACGTACCCTTAGAAAAGTATAATCGGGCTACGTTTTATGTTCCAGGAGAATCTGAGTCGGCGGCGGTGGGTTATATCGATTACCCCTTCGCTGAATAGAGCGCATTCACGGCGTTCCATGCTGGATGGAAACTATATTTAGTATTAATTATTAGTACTTAGATCATCTCATTGCGCACTAGAAAACATCTATTAGAAATAGTCAAGAAGCTGGCATTTGATTTTCAAGCTTGGTTAATACACGTACTGTAACATTTCGACCGAAGTTTAATATGGACTATGGCATGTTATGCAGCATAATCATTTCAGCACGTTCAGCTCCGGCTTTGACACGTTTAAATATCTGGATATGAATTTAAGTTTCGGTATTTTCATTGGCGGCCCGCCTTTTCTTTTATTTCTCTCTTTTGTGTAACTAGCACTGGCGCTGGTTGAGCGTTGGTAAATCTTGCAGGCTACCACTTGCATTAATAGGGGAGAGTGTAACGTCTCACGTAGCTTTCAGTTTAATGGATAACAAAGCCGATATCACGCTCGATAAATCCATCTTTATTTTTATTGCCAGTCGTAGCGGGCCATATGTCGTGACAGTGCTCGTCTAAACTAACAGTGTAGTAGGTAATTTACATATGTACAATATGGGAATGAGAGATTAAACCAAATTGTGTACGTTACCAGGGCGTATTTTCGAACTCGGGATGCTGCCGAGGCAACACCAGGAGTGGGTAGTACTCATGTTAATCATAATTTATAAATTGAGACACACTACCGATCGTCCATAAAGAGTTCGCCTTTGGACAATTCTGCCCAGGAAAGATTCATAATAAGTAGTACCTTACAGGCGAGAGCTGGTAAGCGTTATTTTAGAATCATCAGTTGCTTTGGAGAAGGCCCAAGGCCGGATAGTGGGAAATCCAGAGAAGGTTGTGAAGGCATGGGCAGCGGGCACGTAATAATGTCTCATCGCAACAAAACATCCAGCCAGGGTCTGCGTCTTGCTCGTTGTTCCAAGTACTCAAGATTAAAACTCTCCCTGGCCTTTTGCTATTGGTTTCCTCTGTAACACCAAAGAATCAACCATCGATGAAGTATTGAGGGTAAGTCGGACAATGAGATGAGCAACAGAGGCCTAC